TCAACGACTAGTTAGTGACTGATCTATATTGCATCAACGACTAATTAGTGACTGATCTATATTGCATCAACGACTAATTAGTGACTGATCTATATTGCATCAACGACTAATTAGTGACTGATCCATATTGCATCAGCTACTAATTGATTTTGTAAATAGCTTATTCATTAATTTGTTTAAACTTTTCATTAACTTTATAATACAAATTTAAGAAAAAAAAGCAAATGCCCATTGAAAAAATTATTTTAAATGACTGTTGATAATTGGCAAATGATAGAATCAATTACAATGGCTGTATATGACAAAGGTCAAAGATCATCCACTTACCGCAAACTAATACATGTCCCATATCTAGCACTAATTTTGTGCCCAATGAAATTATTTCATGACACATTTATAAGATTTCGATTTAATTGAGATGAAGTAAAATGCATAATCATGCTGGATAAAATGAGAAAAGTTAATTAAAAAAATGCTGGTTAAATTAATTTTTATGCCTTATAAGTAATTTTAAAAGTAATTTAAGCATTAACATTTGAAAAATAATTAGTGAATTAAGCTAGAAAGAGAAATAGCGAAAATTAGAAAATTAAATTAATAAAAGTTAAAGATAAGCATAATTTAAAGTGACAATTTGAAAAAAAATGCATGAATTTGTTAGATTCGAATGCAAAAAAGCGAAATAATTTCAATAACATGACAGTAACAAATTAATTATTTTGTAATTATAGGATGAGATTGGAAATCCATTCTATAAAACTGATAAAGATAATTTAAATATTTGAAATTATGAGATTAAAATAGGCGGAAAAAATTATTTAATTTCCATGTAAATATTAATTTCATTTTTATATTGCATGCGCTAAGTTGATTTCTCAATCAAGTTACTAGTCTCGTAGTAAAATTTACAAACTTTCATAAATTTTAGACATTGAAGTAAATTTGAAAAATTAAAAAGTATAGTGATCGAGAAAACGAAAATTAAAAAATGTAAGAAATTTCGATCCTTCATTTCTCTCTTTGTTTTTTTTTTTTGATAAAACAATTAATAACATCATTGAATAATTAACTTCGCTGATAAATTCAATGGCAATTAGCAAGTAAATACAAATTTTTTTTTTAAATTTTTCTTGAAATTAAAAAAAATTAAAATATTTTTCACAAAAATTTTAAATTTTAGTGCTGAAAGATTATCATCAATTACACCATGTGCCTATCCATTACTATCCGATACGATTCACTGTGGTATTGATGATGTAAATTTACAGAAAAGTGTTCCGGTTTGTGATCCTGATAAAGCAATTAGTATGTCAGAAAGTAGGTCTTTTAACAAAACCCACAAATTTCTTAAATTAAAAAATAAATTTTCATACTTTTTTGAAAAACATTTCGCTCGTTTTTCCTCTTTTGTTTTTTATTTTGTGAATAATTTTCACAAATCGAATTAATTAAATTAATTTTGGTTTTATTTTGGTAAAAAATTTTAAATTTGCAGTAGAAGTTATCAAAAATAAACTTGAAAGAATATACAATCGTAAAAACAATTCTTGTATTTGTGGATCCGATCAGGTATTATGTTTTTTTGGTTGCTTAGTTGAAATTTAAAAGAAATTTATTTATTACTTACTTGTTTTTACTTTTAATTACTCAATGATACTTCATGAGTAATGAAAGAGTAAATAATTAAATAGGTTGCTACTTTCACCTGTTATTCTTACAATTATTTATATTTAAATATGGCATGAAATAATTAATTAAGTAGTTAGAAATATGCAATAATTTTTGTTGTAATCTTTTAGCTAAATTACTATTTACCACTGAAAGGTTATTAAATTCCTAACGGTTCCAAAAATCAATTCATTTTTAAATTTAAACAGTTTACGTTGTTAGGAATTTTAAAGGAATTAAAATATCGGAAGAATTGAGTAATAGATTATAAAAGAGTTAATAATTTCTAGGTAAAACCATGTTGGTTTCGATTTGGCTTCGCATTTTTAAGGCGAATGTTTCCAGTTGAATCCGGTGTTTCAGATCTTTACAGGTAGATTATTAGGTCTTTCACTTTCTTACAGGCTATCTATACTTATCTTTTATTTATTTTTTTATCATTTTTTTTTCAATTAATTTACTTTCAGTCGTGAATTTTGTCCGACAAATAAAACGTTGCTAAGTTATACGAAAAGTTATACATTAATGGGTTCAACAAGGTTATTAAATGCATTTTTAATTATTTCAAGTTCTCAATTATTTCATTTCCTACAATACTGTAAATAGTGGCATCGCTTCAAATAAACAAATAATAATTTCCAATTTTTGGATATTTTTTTGCTTCCTTCACATTCAATTATCGAAATTAAAATCATAATTTTTCATCATTATTCCGTATTTAACCGTACCAATGATTAAAAATATTTTATTATAGTAACAGTAATAGATAAATGAAACAGAAAATTCAAAAAGAGAGATAAGCAACAATTAGAGAGAGAGAGAGAGAGAGATAACTTTGGAAGATAATTGGAAAATTACTTTTTAAATTAAATAAAACAAAAATTTGACGCTAAAACTTTTCAAAAAATAAAAAAGTTTTGCAGGGACTTGTCTTTTTTTTTAAAAAAAGAATAAATTTTATTTTAGGGAAACTATAATAAATTATGGTAAAAATTTTGCACGTCTATTACGTGAACGTTGGTTATTGGGTAAATGTGGTGAAGATATTTTATTTTTTATCTTACTTAAAAGGCCAAATCAGGTGAATTTTGTTTTATTCAATATTTTTTGAATGAAGAAAGCACAGTTACCTGTCCTGTTTTGTTTTTTCTTTCTTTTTTCATTTTCATTAATTATGGATATTTCAATGTTACTTACTATTTATAATATCTATTATATAACATTTTATAATTATTTCCTCAATTTACTTCATATTAATCATTTATGTATTATCATTTAAATTGATTAAAGATTATTCAAACTTTATCATTTCAATTAATTCAATATGTAATTTATCCATACTAATGGAAGTTATCATTAAGACATTATCATTTTGATTCGTTCAACATTATTAAAGAAATGATTATTTAAATCAATCAAATGTTATTTAGACATTTTTACTTAAAATAATTCAGTGTAGCCTATCACTTAATTTGTAGTTTAATGTATAATTTATTTCATTGGATTTTTTGTTTTAATTTGTAAATTTAATCAAAAAAATTTAATTTGATTGATTTGATTAAAATATAATTTAATTAGATCAGAAAAATCTAATTTGTAAAATTTTTTTGTAATTTAATTTAATTTGTCATTTAATCGTTTAGCACTCAATCATTTAGTTTGGTTTGATTTAATTTCTATCATTTGATTTAATTTCAAATTTAATTTATCACCTGTAGTTTATAGTTTATTCATTGAATAATATTTAGATGCTATCATTTAAATTAATGCAGTATATCCTTCATATCTTTCAATTAACGATAATAAAAGAAAAAAAAATTTCTTTTTTTTTATAGCTTATGCGTAGGAACACATTACCGTATTTAACAACCGGAACAATTCAGCAAACACCGGTAAGTTTCGGTAAATGATTTTTTGCAATGTATATATTTACTGTAGAATGAATATGTCGATAAAGCCTTTAAAACAAAAACATTGTATTTCATGTTTACAGTATTTTTTACAGTATATTTTTGCATCGTATGGCTCATTAGTTCGAGAGCGAATTGATCCATTTAATACAATGCCAATTAATGACCTCTCAATAAATCAACAACAACAACATTATTCTGATCCATTACAAGAAATTGTTGAAGCGGAAAATGTAAATTTCGAAAATGGCTATTCTTTAAAAGTGGTAAATTGTTTTCATATCGCATAATCGTATTATCAGTACTAGAAATTAAAAATAAAAATGAAAGGTAAAAATTTCAAAAATTGATAATTTGTGGAGAAAAAAAAAACATTAACAATATTTGTCCTTTCTTATTTTGATATTTCCTAATATATATTTATTTATTTTAACTAAATTTAAATTTTTTCTGTTTCATTCATAAAAAGCGAAAATGAAACATACAAAACTTGAAAAACAAGGAAAATTGTATGAATACTTCATAATTGCGATTGTTCTTTTTTCAATTATTTCATTAAAAAAAAAAATGCGAAATCGAAAAAGAAAATCTTTGTTATATTAATTTATTGCAGGTAAATTTAAATTTTAGCATGAAATTTTCTAAAAAAAAAAGATAAATTATACAAAATTTTTATTTTTGAATTAATAGGTAACAGAAAATTTATTGGATCGATTTGAGGAAAAACTTTCACAAGAATATTCATTGCCACATACTCGAAGTCATATACCAAATTGGGCAATTACTGTATTCATTACATGTGCCTTGCTTTGTCTTTTGATGACACTTGGGTAAGAGCATTTTATAAGTTAGCAAATAAAGTTATAGCCTTATTTATATTATTAAATGTTCGGATAAATTAAGGGTAATTTACTACTTTAGATATTTTATAATATAAGCTTACATGCTTAAATAGTAATATTTGTAATGATGGAATTCCTGTTAAGTATTGTACATAATGTGACATAAAGTTACAAAATTTTCATTTATTTTCACCTCAAATTTAAGCTAATTAAATCATTAAATAAATGAATTAATATTAGCATAGTATAATCATTAAAAATTACAAAACACAACGCATAAAGGTAATTGCAAATCGAAGATATCAATTTGATGAATTTAAAAAAAAAAAAGAAAAAAATGTCGTCATGCTATCCATAAGATTCATATGTATATTCTTTAAGGGATAATTTTATGATTACAAAGATTAGCGCTTCTGTTAGCTCAGGCTGATGATAAAGGACTCTTTGTTAGCACAAATTGATAAAGCGTTTTGTTAGCAAACATTAATGTAAGCTTCTCTAGGGGACATTTTGCTAAACAATAAGCACATATACAATTCTATTAGCATCCTTACTCATATAAATTTTTTTTTAAATTTTTAATCTTAATCATGATTTAATATGCATATACAAATTAGTATATCATTATATATTCGCTAATGATTCTTTATATTTTTCTTTGTCACCGAATTTCTTCACATTTATTCGCGACAATCTGTATAAAATTTCATATAAGTAACAAATAATCACGCTTTACTTAATTAATTACAAATTAATTATTCGGTTCACCTAATTAATTATATGAGATTATTCAATTCTTGCGTTTAAGATTACTTAATTAATTACATTATAATCTTTTTTTATCGTATTTGATGAAATATTTACGTATTAAAAACATTTTTGGCTAATATAAGATGATAAGCTTGACTATGGGAACTACTATATCATAAGGCATCTTTGGCTAAACCATAGTATTGGCCATACCATAAAATATACTATACCATAAAGCGTCTTTGGCTACACTTATAAGATACCTTTGGCTACCTATACATTACTATACTATAGGATAATCTTGCTTCAGTATTTACTAGAAGGCATCAATTATGAATTGTTTATCAAATAGATAATTAATTAAATAATGATATTTAAAAAAAAATCTATTATAAATTTTTTATTTAAAATTATTTATTGGCATAAATTAATGCATAATGTTTATTTTCATAATTTTGACGCCAATATATTTGAAATTTTTAATTTCTACGGCAAAATTTTTAGAAAGGAAAAAAAAATTTGAAAAAATTTTTAGTTTATGTTTGATGCAAACATCGGTGCGACGTGGATCACCACGTAATAAACCAATTGATACAACAAGAAGATGGAAAGCTGGATTTGTTGGCGGTATGTGGTATGATATGTATAAAAATAAACATATCATTATGTTGTAAGAAATATATTAATACATATTTAAAACAAAATGAATGGATATTTGGTTCTTTTTTTTTAAAATTTTTTTTCGATTTTTCCGTTTTTTGAATTTTTTAATTAAATTTTATTTAATTGTCACTATTTAAAATTGTTATGCGATAGGAGATAAAATTTCAGGTAAATTTCTAGCCGGATAAATAAATTTAGCCAAATAGAGAAAATTTTGATAAATTTATTAATAAATTTAGCCCGATAAATTTCTAATCCTCGTATTTTTTTTTTTTGAAATATGACATATAATAAGTTAGCTGAATAAGTGATGAACAGGTAATGTGACAGATCAGATGACATATAATAAGTTAACTAAATAAGTAATGAACAGGTAATATGATAGATCAAAATTCTCATTATAAATAAAAAAAAAGAAAAAAACGGAAAAAAGTTATGATTGTAAAAAATGGGAAGTTTTTTGTCATATCACATTTAAATTTCCGTCTTTTCTTTTTTTTCTGTCAAATTTATTACTTTGTTTTATCTGTTTGACAAGAAATTTAAAAATTTTTGAACAGATTTCTTCATTGTGAACACAAGGAAAAAGGAAATTGAGGAATTTTTGTTAATTAGCATGGTTCGTTAATTAGCATAGAAGCATGGGTTTTGTTGCTTTTTTCTATTTCAGCTATCTCAAAAAAAATTTTGAAAATATCAAAAATAAAAAAAAAAATTGTTCTTACTATTTGGTATTTTCAATATTATTATTATCATTATTATTGTTGTTGTTATTGTTGTTGTTGTTGTTTTTACTTACCTTTTTTTTGTTTCTTTCGTTCTCTTTTTCATCTTTTAATAAAACATTTCAAATTTTAAATTTGCTATCATTTTGTTTTAAAGTAATTATTTGAATCTTTCATCCATTTCCAAATTAAATCATTCATTTATTGTTTCCCTTTTTTTTTAAGTTCATAAGATTGAATTTATTTGCAAACTTTCACTTTGTCAATTTCTTTTAATTCATTAACAAATAAAATTATCAGTAATTTCTGTGTCATCTTCTTTTTTTCCTACTGTCCAAAAATGCACTAATAGCATTTTTGTCTCCTTTTTCTTACTATTACTGTCACCTATCATCCGAAACAAAATATAATTAGGTTAAAAAAAAAAGAGGGAAAGAAGTGATGGTCTAATTTTATTTTGTCATCTCAAAAATAAAACTCTGAGTAATTATCATCACATTTTACTATCATTTCTCTCCCTTTCTCCTGGAATTATCATTCGAAATTATCCCTTTGCTAATGTTTTTTCTTCTCCCTTTTATGATACTTTTTTTCCCTTCTTTCATTTTCATCCATTTTTATCCAATTTTAAATTTTCATTCCTAAATAGAAATTAATTTTTTTTGTTTTAATTTCACATAAATTCTTTTTTCTTTTTTGCTCAAATTTTCCGTTATTTTTAATGAAAACAATGCATAATGCATACATATATAATTTTCAACAGATTAACTCTTTTATGTTAAATTTTATAAATTTAAAAAAAAAAATCATATTTTACAGATTTACTCTTCCATATGAAATTTTACAAATTTTGCAAAAGAAAAAAAATTTGAAATTTCATAGACTAACTCTGTTATATCATTTCAATATTAATAATTTTTTTTCCCTCTTATCACACTTCTTCATAGAATTTATCACATTTCTTTTTTTTTTATTATCCGATTATTCTTTAGGAATTATCATTATCATTCATTTCACTTTGCACTTTTCTTTAACTTAATGACAAAAATATGTAATTTATAAATTTAAAATTCTTTTTATTCTTTTTTTTTTGACCATGTCAACCATGTCACATACAGTATGCAATATTGCAAAATTATTTTAATGAGAAAATATAGGAAAAATTTTTATTGCATTTAGTTAAAACATGCAAATAGCACGTTCTCAGCAAATTATTTTTTATAAGATTTAAATACAAATTATAATTTGTTTTTTCTATTAAAAGATAAATTTTAATATTCAATTTTTTTTCTTTTTTTTTGAATTCAAAATTATTTCGAGACATGCAAAGTAGTTTTGCATATTGTAATTAAGCATATATTGCAATAAAGCAAATAATACTAATAAAATAAGCAATTTTATGAATTTTTCTTTTCTTTCTGTTTAATGGCCATTTGCATTTTGAAAAGCTCAAATTTAATGTTTTATATTAGTTTCTCTACAAATTAAAGTTTTATTTTAAATTTAGTTAATTTGAAATTTTATAAAAAAATAAAATAGAAATGTCTTTCTATTATTATTTGTTTATTGGATATCGAATTGCAATGATTTTCTCCTTTCTTCTTTTATTTCCGAAAATTATTATCAAACAAAAAAGAAAAAAAAATCAGTTACAAATAGGTCAATTAAAACTGGAACAAATATTCCGGAAAATTAATCAGTATCCGGTCAGGAAAACATTCTATTACATAATAAGAGTTTTTTATTCCTTTTTTTTCGTTTCTTTTTTTTTTTTTTTTTTTTGTTAGTTTATGGAAATGTTGCAGAAAATATGGAAGGAATACCGACGGGTGGTGTAAATTTGATGCAAATGATGATTCAACCATCACTTCGCTACAGCAACAATCCGACTGGCAATTATACTTAAATTTTTTTTTTTCGTTTTTTTTTAATTTTGTTACTTTTTGTTTGCTTTTTTTTTTATTTTACCATGTTTTGTTAGATGAATTATGAAATTTTTCATGAAAAAAATTACTCATTTCTAATTAAAAAAAAAAAAAAAAAGAAAAAATTGTCAATTTAAAAAAATAAGAAAAAAAAGAAACATTTATATTTTTAGAAATTAATTTATAACAAATACATAGTTTTTCAATTTATCTATTTTTTTAATTTTTATTTGCTTATTTCATGTAATAATGTAGGATATCAATTATTGATTGATTTTGTCAAATTTTAGGTAATGGATTTTGTTAAATTTTAGGTGATGAATTTTGTTAAGTAAGCGATATAAATTTAAATGTGATAAAAAAAAAGAAATAATTTAATTTTAATTGAAAAAATATTACATAATCATAATAGTTAAATGAAGGCAAAATTAGGCCTGTCTTATTTCAACCTCCCAATTTGAATAATTTTTATTTTTTAAATTAATTCCTAAATATGTGTGTCCCCAAAAATTTCGTGCATCCCTTTATCATCGCTATTCCTTTTTTTTTTTTACATATCCAAAAAAGTTTTAGTATTTTGGAAATATAATAGTGATCTTTTATCTTTTTATTTTATTAATTTTTTTTTTCTTGGAAATAAACGGCTATATTTTACTGTTATTTACAGGTTTAGACTTAATTAAAATGATAACAATTATTATCATTATTGTTTTAAATGATCTCTTAATTATTGTTTAATAATTTTTTTCTCTTTCTCTCTTTCTCATTCTCTCAATTATTATTTTAATTGGTTGTTTTAAATAAATTTTTTTATTCCTTTAAATTACCAATTTAATCAAATTAAACAGTTATAGTTAATTCCATCCTTAGATGAATTCAGTCAAGCATCTCAAATATATATAAAATGACCAATGCAACAAATAGGATATGAAATGACCAATACAGTAAATGAAATGTAAAATGACCAACACAACAAATGAGTTGATCAGTGACGATATTTTGCAAAGTTTTATATAGTACAAAATTCAAAATTGAATCATTTCTTAATTATCACCTCTTAGGTACAAATCAAAAATCAAATTATCACCTTTTAGGTAAAAATCGTTGTAATCAATTGGTCTAAGCGAAGGAATTAGTAATAAAAATTGAAAATATGAAATATTTTATCAATTATTTAAGACATTCAAGCGTGAAATAATTTAGGTTTGGCGTAAAAAACAGTTAATTAAATATTCAAGCGTGAAATAATTTGAGATTAGCATAATGACAAAATTTGTTATCCTTTGATTAAATCAGAAAATTAATTACACTTTCGCTATTTTTTATCACTAAAAGCATATTTGAAGCAAATATTTGCTGCTCAAATAATATTAGCATAAATGGAAATGAATTGAATAGAAAGCAAAAAAGAAATGCAAAATTTGAATTTGCATTTTGCATTTTGCATTAATAATTCATTTGATTCGATTATACATATATTTTTGATTAGTAATTCTCATTTTATACTTATCTTTTGAATTTTTTAATATTTCGTCTCTTTTTTTCTTCTTTTTCCTTCTTTTTTTTCTTGCTATTATATATAAAACAAATGAAAAAGCATGATAATTTTATAAATGAAAAAAAAATGCAATCATGAATGCATGCACACACGCACACACACACACGTACACATACACATACACAAACACATACACACATACACATACACACACACACACATACACATACACACACATATACACACACACACATACGCATACACACATACAGACACATACATATACACACACATACATATACACACACGCACGCATGCACACACATACACATACACACACACATACATATACACACATATACACATACATACATACACATACACACACACATACACATACACACATACATATACGCACACACACACGCATACGCACACATGTACATGCACACACATACACATACACACATACACATACACATATACACAGACACACACATACACATACA